TACACTGAATGCCCGGGTTCGATTCCCCACATTGGTACAATGTGTGAAGCCCATTTCTGGTGTCTCCCTCCATGATATTGCAGGAATTTTGCTAAATGCGGCGTAAAACCATACTCACTCAAAGGTATCTATTTTAGGCAGTGGTGATGGCGGGTGATACCCCTTCATGTGTTGCGTTCAGAAAAGAATCTGAGCTGCAGTATCCACATTGAAGTATTTCTACCCTGATGGGTTTCTTCCTTCAGGGGTAGCCTGATGGTGACAGCGTTCGCTATAGTCATGGCGAAGGTCCAGGTTCGATTTTCCACATGGGTACAGTGTGTGAAGTCCATTTTTGGTATCCCCCGCCGTGATATTGCTGGAATATTGCTAAAAGCGGCGTCAAATCATACTCACTCACTCTCCCTCTGTAACAGGGTATCTTAAATAGAATGTTTCAATCGCTCAATGACAATTATATCACCAACTGACTGGGCAATCTTTATAAATAACAACTTATTTATGTCGTAAGTCCGAAGTTTCGATACAGACTCTTGTACGGTTGTCAAACAGGACATGAGTCTCTATCGAAACGTCGCACACACGAAATAAAGAAGTTGTTATCCATGAAGTGTGTCTGTATTGTACTTCCCAACTTCTAAAATGCCACCCAAAGGAGTGACTGGTCACTGTTATTTCCACGTAAGCTTTATGAGAATACGCTCGCTTCTTTGTCATTGTTTGGAGGGGTTGGAGATGGGAATTGAGAGCCTCGAAGATGTTCCAAGATCAGGAACTCTGCCAAATAATTCTCCGTGGACTTCCAGGACATAAGGTTTTGTTGATAAAATACATGACATGATTACGGAAGATCGTGGAACCAGCAAGTGCCACATAGATAGTACGGCGGGCACCCTTCACGAGAGAGTTGCGTGCATTCTGGGGTTGGTTGGTTGTTTAATGCTGCACTCAGCAATATTCCAGCTATGTGGCGGCGGTCTGTAAATAATCGAGTCTGGACCAGACAGTCCAGTGATCAACAACATGAGAATCGATCTGTGCAATTGGGATGCGATAACAAGGCGGTCGCCTCTTACGACAAGAATGAGTTGCTGAAGACCAGTTCTTACCCGCATCTTTACAGGCGCATTCTGGGGAATGAACTGGGCACGACAACGGTGTCAGCACTCTGGATTCCAAAGCTTCAGAATTCTCATCAAAAACGCTCCAAGTTCATCCTCTGCCGTGTACATTTACGTTGTTTTGGTGCGGACCAGTTTGCGTTTGTTGAACAACTTGTAGCCATAAGTGTTTCTTGGTTTCACGACTGTCCACCTTCCTTTGAAAAGAATATAAAAGTGATGACTTCCGTTTTCTGGGATTCAAAGGGAATCTTACTGGTGATTTATCTCCCGAGGCCAGTCTATTAATGTCCACTATTATGCTGATTTGGTGTGTCAACTGTGCTTACCCAACATTCTGTCAACATGACTGAGGCTTTGACTGACTGACTGAGTTTGGTTTTACGCCGCTTGTAGCAATATTCCAGCAACATCACGGCGGGGGACACCAGAAATGGGCTTCACATATTGTACCCATGTAGGGATTCGAACCTGGGTCTTCGGCGTGACGAGCCAACGCTTTAACCACTAGGCTACCCCACCGCCCCCCTGAGGCTTTGAAAACATTGGACATATTCCGTATTCATCAGATTTGAAACCGTCGGATTTCCTCCCATTTCAAAATTGAAGAATTGTCTGGCAAGAATTAGGCAAATGTCCATGTTTTTTTCTGATATGGTAGACGTTTGGCACCACCGGGAGGAATCACTGTACACCCTCACCTGGGTCATTGCCAGAAATCTTGACTCATGCGTTATGCCGAAGACTCGCAGGCTCTGAAATGCATGCCTCGAGAACATCATATATATCAAACGTATGTGTCGATGAAGGTCTTAAACGATCCACGTAATCAGGGTACAAAATGTCGCCATCAACGAAGTCTTCGCGCCCGATCACCTTGGGCTTTGAAGGAAACCTACATTGTATAAAGTGTCCAGTTTGGACCAGACATTCCAGTGATCAACAGCATGAGCATCAATCTACGCAGTTGGTATATGATGACGTGTCAACCACATCAGCGAGCCTGACCACCCGATCCCGTCAGTCGCCTCTTATGACAAGCATGCATGGGTTGCTAAAGACCAATTCTAACCCGGACCTTCACAGGTCGGGTTTATCAGTTGTTGACATTCCATCATTAGTATATGTCTGAACAAACCACAGCACTAACACCAAAGGTTCATCCGGGCTCCATGACGGACATCAATGGGGTATTGATACGGGTTATAGAAGATATTCAAGGAATGTTTTACTCTGAGGTTGTGTTCAGTCTGTGTTTTGAGTGAAATGCTGAACTCGAGAAAACAAGTGATCGCATACCGTTTGCCTGTATTCACCAGTACTACTTCAGATCACACAGTAAGGAATGTCACCAATACCCCTGCTGTATCACACGGAACCGTTGACGCATGACAAACCTGAGTCTAATAACGAACAACGTCCCACACGGTCAGAGAACTGACCAGTCCCCAATCTTGACCACCTCTGATTTATAGAACCTAAATGCCTCTTAAATCTAATCGACCATAGGGGAGCAATCCTATCTTAACGGTCCAAAGAGGGTGCATAAGGGTGAAGGTCTAAGTCACGAGCCTTCGGAAGGCCCAAAATAATATGTGTGCTCTTTCGGCTGGGACAAAAAAGACTTTGGTGGGGGTGGGAAGTTCATTTAAAGGACAATATTATCTAAAAAAATACTGGGAATTTACCCGTGAAACATTCCCGCCAGTGATTCACCAACACTAATCTAAAGGGTACAATTGTAAGATTTAAGCTGATTTGTAGCAGTTCACTAAAAGTCTGTGGAGTGATGGCTAAACTGCACTCACTCGACAAGCACAAAAGTGCTCATGATGCGGACGGAACAAGAAATATCGTAACTGTTTGGGTTTTGGGGTTGTTGCTTAATCAAACCGGAAACAAGGCACAAGCACCAGAAAGAGCTGCAATGCAATCAAAACCACTGTATGCTAATAGCTACAACAGAACACTCTGTGATTGATTTAGAGCTCGCATCAGCGCCTGATTTAAGATGACAATAGTTATACGAGAAATAAAAATGAAAAGACACCTGTTTAGTGTGATTCTTTATTCAATATTTACATTTTTGTCTGACAATCTTTCCATAATTGACGTAGATTGATAATGAGTGAGTGAGTGAGAAGGGTTCCATGCCATTTTGAAATGCCATGGCTTACTGTGGGACGAAGATCCAAGACGTTTACCCACTTGGGATAATCACACAACAACTGAAAAACCAAGCATCTTACTTGCATTTAAACCATCCATCCGTGATCCTGGCCAAGCAAGGGACACAATTCAGATCACTTGGTAACCAAACAAAGGCCTGTATTTAAATCTGTAGCTAATGACATTGAAAGGATACAGGGTGCACGAAAAAAACCTACAATGGAGTGAGTGAGTGAGTTTAGTTTTACGCCACACTCAGCAATATTCCAGCTATATATGGCGGCAGTCTGTAAATAATCGAGTCTGGACCAGACAATCCAGTGATCAACATCATGAGCATTGATCTGCGCAATTGGGAACCGATGACATGTGTCAACCAAGCCAGCGAGCCTGACCACCCGATCCGTTAGTCGCCTCTTACGACAAGCATGGGTTACTGAAGGTTCATTGTAACCCGGACCTTCACAGGTAGAATTATGGTGTAGACAAAGGACACAACTAAATGAACTGTGGTGCCTTAGGTGTCTGAGACAGTCCCCTACTTAAGGCATCTTTATGTCACAACAGCTCTGTCCATAAACATCATTGCATCAATAAACCAAACACCAGAATACTACAACAATACTTCACAGTACATTTCTCCATCAACAGTCAACACTTACATCCCTGTAATTAGGATCCAGGGCTTTTGGGGTTAGCGTAGGAAATATGGCTCTGTATAACTTATGTGAAATCAGCTGTACGAATGTCATGTGAACACCTTTGCAATTGCCTGAATCAAAGTAATGCATAGAGCAAATTCACTTAAGGCTGTACCAATGTACTCTGAGCAGTTGTTGGTTTCTCACTGTATTTTAATTCACAGGCTATAAATTGCAAAATTTGACTGTATTCCTTGGTGATGTAGGACCAAGAAGTGTCCATAAACCTCAGCAGTACAACCTACAAACCGGAAGTACACATGATATTTATATAAAGAAACTTTCAAATTTGTCAGTACATGAACAAAAGTAGTCTTTTTGTAGGGCCAGGCCTTGGTGCACAAATGAAGAGTTGATGAGGTGTTGATGGTTTGTAGCTTTTGGAGTGAGTGTGTTTAGTTTTACGTCGCTTTTAGCAATATTCCAGCAATACCACGGGGACACCTTATGGAGGATGTGTTTCATGGGGCCCGTTTCCCAAAGCGATCGTAGAGCTCAAGGTGATCGTTACTCCCATACTTTAACATAGACTTACGACAGGCCCCTGGTCATGGTACCTGAATATAGCTGTATCCATTCTAAGATCCATAACAAGGAGACCCAAGGTCTGTCTTACAAGGTTAAAACTTACTGAGATATATGATAGACAACTGGCAACTTGTAAAATAACAAGGAAGGCCAAAGGGAGATAACTTTCCTAGTTACCTTCTCTGCCTCTGAACTGAAGCAAATGAACAACTGGTGATACAATTAGTATTCTTTCAAATTAGGGACATGTAAGGAAACACAGCTGGACTGTCTACAGGAGGAACTTCCACCTCTGAGTTACATCCTACCCTTTTGTTCTCTCACCTGGTCTTGTTGATAGAGCACCTGCCACAACAGCAGAAGTTGGTGGTTCAATCTCTTGCATCATACCAAAAGACACTAAACATGATAATTATTGTTACCTTGCTCGACATAAACATGATAAAGGTGATTAAGAAAGAAATTGTAAGATTAACATGAGTGTTGTGTCTGAATGGGGTATGCATGTTAAACTGCAGCATGGTATCTCACTGGCATGGTCATGACTAGCATAAACAGCCATACATAACCAGCGTTCAAATACCTGCCTGCCCAACCCTCAGGGGCGGGGTTATTTTCAACACGGATTGTTCTCAAACACCAGCCCGACAGTCGGGTTAACATTTAGACATGCTGGCATGGATATAATTGGATGATAAACTAGCATCAAACAAATTATTTGTGGGCAGGTAAGTTTTGGTCAGGGCTGGCAAGTTTTACATCTAACCAGCCCTGTGGTCTGGCTGAAATGTTTGGGATTTTCATGTGCATACAATGTTGCAATACAAATTTCATTCAAAACTCCTGTACTTCAAGTCAATCATGATGATAGTACTCAACATTACATGAAGGTACTTTGTTTATTTGTTTTCCACAAAATAGAGAAGAAAGGTAGTCAATAATTATATAAAGCCCAACTCAATGTGCATAAGCTTAGCTGCAAAAGGACACCTCCAAGCACTGGTCATAATTCACCAACTGATCAAAACTTGGAGAAGTAAAACAGGAACTAGATTAATGCTTAGTCTCTGAATATATATCATTTTTGAAAGTTACAAATAAACCCATTTAAATTGATAAGGAGCCCCAGTGAGATGGGAGATCCTGAACCTGGGGAAATCTAGACTTGCTTCATTTAGGTCTTTAGCATTGCAGGGAGGGCTAGGCTTTAGGGAAAATTATGTGGTTCAGTGACTGTCATACAGACTAAACAGGAACACACAGTCAGGAAATACAAAGATTTGTCTGTCAACCAATGTTCCATCTAGCCTGTTAACAATCAATTAAAATCAGTGATTCATATAAGCAACGGTAATTCATATAAGCAACGACGCAATCAGGGCTAAGACACTGAATGAGTCACTGAGGCAGACACCATTATATCATTTACTAACCTCGCGACAAGCATACACTGCTGAGGACCTAGAATCCCAGAATCCCCATAGGGTTCAAAAGAAAGCCAGAATAACAGGACACAAGAACATAATCTTGTTAATTTGTTGATAATGTGCTATTCAACAACATTCCAGCTAAATGATGGTGGACAGAAAATAATTGAGTCTGGACTATCCAAACCGGTAATTGATATTAAGTGCAACAATCCGTGACCCCAGTGTATCATGACGTGTGAAAAATATAGAAAGTCACTAATTCTGACCACCTGATCCATTAAACTGACCACAACAACCAGCATAGGTTCCTGGGTACTAATTCTGGGACAACCAGAACTTGATAGACACCCGTGCTCTGTGAAATAATACATCAACAGATATAATACATCAAGAATAACACGGGTCACGCCAGGAACAGGATACCAAGTAGCACAACTCTCATGTCTTCTTGGGTTACCGTTCCGTCTGACTATGAACCTTTGACAGACGACATAAATATGGGCTGTCAACATCTTCTCCTAATCTCATGTTGCCATTGTAACACAGGCCACTCTCACTGGTTCACAACACATGACTAGGCGTCTGCCTTCAGCTGTCTGTCACTGAGGCCGACCTTCTCTCCTGACTTGAAGGCAGGCATGCCAAGATATGGACAGCTGGCACAACGGAATGCATCACCCAAGTAACACTGAAACATTACATTGGAAATACATAAACAAAGAGATAATAAAGGTAAGGAAACGAAAAGAACACAATACAAGTCTTGGAACAAATTAGAGCTTCTTTTCTGTCATTATTTATTTCCCATCTCTCATAATGCCTGGCTTTGAGTCAGCATGTATACCTTTCAGGGTTCAGCCTTCGAAATACCTGCCTGCCCGACCACCCGGGACGGGTTATTTTCAACACGGACTGCCAGATTCTCAAATTCACCTGCCCGACGGTCGTGTTAAAATTTAGACATGTATATGAAGATATTTTGTGGGCAGATAAGTTTTGGTCAGGGCTAGCAAGTTTTACATCTAACCAGCCCTGTGGTTTGGCTGAATTCTTTTTGGAGTTTCATACCCTGGTTCATTGATTTTCCATCAGTGCCACAGTTCATCAAATAAGAATATGCACTACTTAACTATAAGTCAAAATGCATTTTTCAATCTAACTGATAATTTGAAGTGCAAGTTATAGTCAATAAAGTACCCTTGTCTAAATTCTTCATGTCTGATAATGTATATCATTGGCAAGAAATACCTTACAAGTAAAAACAAACTATGAGACAAGAATGACTACAAGTTGACTTTACATGTGAGGTATTACTTTATCCATATGTTGTCAAATTATCAGCATGGCAATATCTTAAGAAGTAAGTGTATGTATAAAACACATCTGTATGAATAGATAATGTTTAGTGTATTCAAGAAGTCTACAACATTAGCCACTGGTCTGATATTTCTCTAAAAATAACAGGCTCATATATACCCAGTACACTGAATCCTGGATCAACTGAAAACTGACTCAAGGTCGTGTAAGGACCAGTAAGGCCATTACAAGGATCCCTTCACAAAACACAAGGCCATTTGAATTAAACATTGTGACAGCAATTACTTCAAGTGGATATTGTTCATGAAATCCTCCCTTTTCAAAGCCGTACTAAATTCAAACCCATATCTATGCAGACCTAAGAGCTTAAAGACATTTCAGGCAGCATGAAGTATGTAGAAGGCAACATAGAATTTTAAACTTGAACAGTTTGGTACATGCTGTCAGAGATTTTCTCAACATTTCGTGGAGTTGATAAACAGTACAGAACGATGGATAATCCTTTTGCTCTTGTCCTTGCAATATTGCTCTAAGGGAAACAACTCTGTATGGTCATTTCATAGTGTCAGTTGACATCAGGAGAGTTCTGTGAGATTCACCTAGTCTGGAGCCCAAGTCAAGTAAAACTTTGTTTGGTCTAGTTTACCTAGTAAGAGTCCAATATTACACAATTCTACTGAAAATGATACCAATATAGCCATATTTGGGCTAGAAGTTGTAAAAGATTTGGGAATGGATTTTTGTAACTATTGTCTACATTAATCAAATAATATGACATAACTTGAAACCACAGGTGAAGGGAAATCTCAAACTTTGGGAAAGTATTTCACTTACATTTCCACAGGCAGACGTGACTGGTTTGGGCTTGATGTCAGCCCCTTCCTCCAGCTCCTCTGCCAGCCCACATGTACAGTTCTTGCAAGCCTTCTTCTTCTTGGGGTTTGCACCACAATCAGCTGATCAACAAACATTGCTATATATGAGGAACTGTGAGAGGTAATCACGTGCAGTCCTAAAAAGTGGGAATCAAGTCATTCCAACAACACTAACACAACTCAGATAAATTAGCACCCAAACGACATGGAGACAACCTTGCTACAATCTTCAGTTACCCATGCATTAGACAACATGAACAGCAAAAATAATTCCATTAAAATTGCACCAAATTCCACTAAAAATGAATGCTCGTGGTGTAGCATTATTATTATTACACCCCACCCTACATAACCAACCTGCCAGGTCCACACTAACTGCTGTGTGAAGAGAGGCATATTTTGAATATAGTCACTTGATAGATAACATTGAAACTGCTGGCTGAACTCACCTCTGAGAGAGGCGGGGTCTGGCTTTTTCAGGTCATCTTGTTCCAGGAGAGCATCGTCATCAACAAGCTCCACCTCATCATCTAGCACATCATCCACAGACAACGACCACACCTTGGCTACATTAGCATCTACTGCTGTCAAAATGAACATCAACATTATCTTAGTATAAATAGGCAGACACATAATGATAACTGCATTAATTTCACAAACAGCCAAATATTGCAAAATAAGCATTCTCAAGTGTCTAATATATATTGTTACATTAGTGAGTGAGTATGGTTTTACGACACTTTCAGCAATATTCCAGCAATATCACGGCGAAACAGCAGAAATGGGCTTACACATTTTACCCATGTGGGGAATCGAACCTGGGTCTTTGGAGGGACGAGCAAACGCTTTAACCACTAGGCTACCCCACTGCCCCTATTCTTACATTAACCTACTAATGTACTTGATGTGGAATACTAATGCCAAATTGAAAATGAAAAAAAATCCTATAAATCAAACAAAAGAGTTGTGGTAGCTGTAACTCATAGCCTTGTCAAGGAAAGTGTACAAAGTAGGATATGTTTGATATTTTACGCTGCAATGAGAAATACTCCAGCTACATCACTGTGAACTGTAAGTGAGAGTCTGGACACTAGTCACTGGACATTCTTCAAACATGAGCCACCAAGTTCCACAATGTCAGTACAAGATGACTTGCAATTAACAAAGTCACCCTACCCATCTACTTAGCTGTAATTGTGTACTGGAGACCCAGATCGATTCACGGTTTGAAGATCAGAGGTCGCCTATTGCAATGAAACATGTTTATTCTGACACCTTAATTCTGAATATATGATATACAGGTAGTAGTGCACAACTGGAAAGGTGCATATCCTCATGTATCAAGCTGTCAAAGTGAGCAACAGGAGTTTACAGTCCAAGGGAGATAACTCTGGTTATTGACCCTGTAGGTGAATTTGGGGAATTCTGAACCGGTAAGAAAAGAAAAGTGATGGAATCTTTGGTACATATTAATGGGATAGTTGGTTAGGTCCTGAGGAAGTACAGGAGATTGTAGTTTGAGCCTACATAAGACATGGTGTAACTAGCTGTATTACGATCTTTCAAGCTTCATCATGATCTTAAATCCCCACAAAATTGGTTATCTCCTCACATCTATCACTAACCTTTAGGTTTGTTTGCAAATGACAGTTTGAGCTGCGTAGTGGACCCTACTTCATAGTGGGGTTTCTCCGCCATGATCTGCACCAGTGACAAGCCATTGTCTGATGACAGATTCTGTAGGGCTGCCTTGTCATCATCGCTCAGAGGTAAAGAAACAGGCTGGTGGAAATTAAAAAAAGTTAAAGATAATTCCAGGCCGTAAAACACACAAACACCATCAAACAAGAGAGCAGCTACTTATCACAGGAATTTAATGGCTAAGTACATTCTTTGTTCTGAAGTGTTCTACTTGGATGATATGTGTAGTATAAGGTGAGTGAGTGAGTGAATTTATTTCTACACCACTTTTAGCAACATTCCAACAATATCACAGCATGGGACACCAGAAATGGGCTTCACACATTATACCCATGAGGGGAATCGAACACAGGGCTTCGGTGTGACGATCGTACGCTGTCTGTAAATAATCGAGTCTTAACCACACAATCCAGTGATCAACAGCATGCGCATCGATCTACGCAATTAGGATAAGATGACATGTGTCAACCAAGTCAGCGAGCCTGAACATCCGATTCCGTTATAAGGAAACGCAGCTGCTTCCTGATCTCAGTTTAACGCCAATAGCTGCAAAACTGCTGATGTGGCATAAAGCAATATTCACTCACCTGATCTCAGAAGACCTTACATTTTCACAATCCATTGTTAAATAAAAATATACTTGTCATCTAAACAATGATTGTTTGAATTTCTGTGTTCCCATCTCATGTCACAAAATAGAGTGCCCTTACTAATCAAGCTAACACCTATCTTCTTGTAAACATCTAGCATCAACCTGCATGTGACACTAATGGTCAGCATCAACTTGATTTAGTGGTTGTACCAGTTGACTGCATCCAGCTGACCTAGTGTTTGACACAGTTGTTGACATCAGCAACAAACTGATCTAGTGGTTGTGCCAATTAACAGCATCAATCATATCTATAGTTTGGCATGAAATGCATGTGGACCCGTTTTTTTGTAAATATCTCTTCATCCAATGACCCAATCGATCTCAAACTGTGCAAGTGGATGTTTTGGCAGACAACCTAATCACATTGTAAATCACCGATTTAATGCATTTGTATTAAAGAATCTGTCTATGTTACTGTCAACAAAATAAACAGCAGAACGCAGACAGCTTGCAGAGGGAGGGAGCCAATGACCTGTAACAGCGGCAGTGGTGGGTCATAAAGGTAAATGCACGTGCAGTTCATGATAGTTACCTGTGCACTGCACAGTGATAGATCGTTTGGATCATTCACATTGACTACTTCTAGCTGTCATCATGAAAGCTTAATCAGATGATGCTAAACGTTCAATTAGAAATGTGTTGAATTTTTTTCTAAAAGAGAGCAATCGTAGCAAACCGATTTATAAGGTGTCGGATTACATGAAACGTACAACTTTTGCTCTTGGCATGAAAAAGAACATCGTGCTAAAAAATGTGAAAAATAAACCAACAACCAATAAACAAAACCTTGTACAAAAAGGTAGGCATCCAAAGTTAGATTCTTTTGACATCAGGGTCATCAGCATAGCTGACCTACATTGACGAACGTTGACCTTTATGACCCAACACTGCCGCTGTTACAGGTCATTGGCTCCCTCCCTCTGCAAGCTGTCTGCGTTCTGCTGTTTATTTTGTTGACAGTTACATAGACAGATTCTTTAATACAAATGCATTAAATCGGTGATTTACAATGTGATTAGGTTGTCTGCCAAAACATCCACTTGCACAGTTTGAGATCGATTGGGTCATTGGATGAAGAGATATTTACAAAAAAACGAGTCCACATGCATTTCATGCCAAACTATAGTGATTGTAACAGTTGTTATCAGTTATCATCAACTTCGTGCAGCTCCAAGTTACAACAACAATTAAAGAACCAATGATTTTATCAATGATGTGTGATGCACTGATCTGATGAAAGATCTATTTTCTAAATTATTGCATCTGACCATGGTAAAGAAGCTAGTGTGTCATATAAAGTCCAGATTCAACCCTTGAAAACTACATATATATTTCTGAGTTCCATTTTGGCTGATGTAACTAGTCTATGCACGGAGCTATCAAAAATCAAGTAACATAATTGATATCCACCTCTGTACATCTATGACGCCTTTGGTCGTCTCTGCATATGTTTTTCTCTACATATGCTTTTAGCAACCCTGTGTAATGTCTCAGATTTGACATTTATATGAATAACAATCCTGTGTACATCTTTGACGCCTTTGGTAGTCTCTAAATATGCTTTTCTCTACATATGCTTTTAGCAACCCTGTGTAATGTCTCAGATTTGACATTTATATGAATAACAATCCTGTGTACATCTATGACGCCTTTGGTTGTCTCTGCATATGTTTTTCTCTACATATGCTTTTAGCAACCCTGTGTACTGTCTTAGATATGATATTTATATGAATAACAATCCTGTGTACATCTTTGATGCCTTTGGTCGTCTCTACATATGTTTTTCTCTACATATGCTTTTAGCAACCCTGTGTAATGTCTTAGATATGACATTTATATGAATAACAATCCTGTGTACATCTATGACGCCTTTGGTTGTCTCTACATATGTTTTTCTACATATGCTTTTAGCAACCCTGTGTACTGTCTTAGATATGATATTTATATGAATCACAATCCTGTTAAATTTGGTTGTCTCTACATATGTTTTTCTCTACATGTCCTGTGTGTACTGTCTTAGATATGATATTTATATGAATCACACCTTTGTACATCTCTACATATACTTAAACAAGCCAGTGTAATGTCTTAGATATGACATTTAAACGAGCCACAATCCTGTGTACATCTATATGCACATATAGATGTACGTGTATGTATTGTTGTTATATAATGGATGGAAATGTAACCAAAAAGTGGAGAAAAAAAGAGAGAAGAAATTGATAAGTTGCTAAACACTGTGACTGCTGTGAAGATTCCCGTTGATTGTAGGATTTGCAAAACATGTTTACTGTCAACTTGGCTGTCACAGATATTTTCCATATCTTTTCATATTATTAATCAAAGTGTTCAAGTGATTTGAGGCACTACAAGGTAAAACCTGTTTGATCACAATATAGATGTTGACTGTCTATCGCTGTAGCTGGGTGCCACCAATTTATTTGAAGGAAGTGCAAGAGATATGAAAGAAGTAATCTGATTGGTAAATAGAAGGAAGATGGGACAAGTCGTTACAGTCACTGATGGCACTATGATCATGCCATGAAATTCTAGCAGAGTTCGTCAGTTGTGACTTCTATAGTCAGTTGATGAAATTTGCACCTGCATGTAGGCCTGTGACAGGTATATCTTGTGTTAGACCCTTATTTCAAATTCAATGGGTCTGTAAGGCCTGCAGTGAATTTACATGTTGATTTTTTGGTCACAATATGCTGAAGTCATTTAAATGTGGGTCTGAAGGTGTTAGTAAAGACCTGCATCTTCTATTTCATGGTAGCCTGGCAATCTCATTTAATTTACAAATATTGCCCTTGCCTCAGGAAGATGCATATGTTGACGAAACAATGATCAAATGGTTCCTCATTCCTACAGTGCTCTATGGAATTTGATGGACCATGCAACAAAACATTGGTTGACAACTTACAGCTGACAAGTTGACAAATCCTGAGAGTTTCAGTGTTGACACCATTTTGTCTGTTGTCTGTACAGTTCCGCTGGCATTGTTAGAGACAGCATCCCGGATGTAGAGTGTACCAGCTGGCTTCAGTATCCTGCAGATCTCCCCGAGTCTGTCCATGTCCTGCTGGATTACCCCGGGGTTGATGCAGGCCACAGACGGCAACATCGAACACCGAGTTAGGATGTGAAGCTACAACACAAAGTCAACTTGTTCAGCAAAAACACCACAATGCTTTTAACCGTGATTTGATTAAAATTGCCTAATACATACATTACTTATTAATTAGGAGATAAGAGGTCATTATTATGAAAAGTACTTTTGTCCTAGAGCTGTTATGGATAAATTGGTGCAACTGATAATACAGTGTCATCTAATATGACCCATTGCGGACCTTGTCCCACTCTCACAAGGCAGTCTTAGCACTATGACTTAAGTTAGTGAGTTACAATTGTAGTTGCTAAGATCATTTGTGCTAGCCAATAATGGGTTAGAATAGGTCCCAGCTGGGCTCCAGATAATGTTTTGAGACATTGAATATTTCCTCAAAAGGTATTATTCACATTGGAGTTTTATAGTTTCCTTTGGGTTTTCAAAATATTTACTCCTTAGTGTCTGTCTAAAGGGCATTTTTACATCTGCTGGGCAGATTTAAAAAAAGGTACACAAGTGGAAAAGGATTATCACATTGATTAATCATGCAAGCGTGTTGTTATACTAATAGGGTTTTCATTTTCATTGTGAATATGATTTAAATATATAAATGAATTTTTATTTATTCATGTTGCACATTTTAGTTAAATGCACAAATTATCTCCCCTTGTCAGTCCACTGCTTTGTTCTCAGAAGTTACTGAATTGGATCAGTGGATGAGCTTTGCTTCATACTCATAGCAGGCCATTACTGCATTTAAACTCAATTCCCTAGGGAGTATTAAAAACTGTCACCAGCAACGATCTGAATCCTACTAACTGGTCAAATGTACAGACAACACACATATTGACAACATACACTGTGTAAGTCTCTCCACATGTTCCACATGGACGCTGCCTGACTCCCCTGCTTGGCTGGTCAGAAACTGGACAATATCTTGAATATTTTCTGATGACTGTCCACCCCAAATAAGCAGTACTTTCTGTCCTGGTTTGATGTCAATGCTGTCCATTGTGTAGGTATCCTATTGTGACAAAAAGAAAAAGCTGGCGTTGGCTTAGGATGAAACAATAATCTTGATTATGAACATGAGGGATCAAATTCCAAAACACATAAAATTGAACTAGAAGAAATAATGTTTTGTTTCAACTTTACAAAGATACTGGCTTTTTTTAGCCCAAATTGCTGAGAGAGAGAGAGGAGGAGGAGGAGGAAGGGGCTGCGGAAGGTGAAGAGGGGGAAGGAGAGGAGAGGAAGAAAGACGGGGGAGACATGATTTAGGGGTAGGGAGGACTGCTTGCTATTGTGCTGATGTTTATATTTGATGGGGTTAGCCTATTGACATACCATACAGCAGATTTCCATGAATACCCCACTCAGGCATGTTATACAGACTATGAGTTGACCCTATCCCTGGTTTATGCCCTTAATGTCCAGCACCAGGCATGGTAAAGACACGTACCACCTTTCAACATCTATTCGCATAACACAGCTGAGGACTAAACTGGTGACCTTACACTCTCTGGGTGCTACATATAATAGCTACCACATCATACTGTGATAACCGCAGATCAGGGTATACTATGGTGATAGAAGTATATTACCTCATTCGGCATTTATCTCTCGTGTATAACCCAACTTGTATACAACCACAATTATTTACAGTTCAGAAACATGACAGCCTAATATCACATTGGTGAGACTGTAATTTACCAGGCACAACATGTAGGGCAAATTGGCACTGGCTGATGAATGAGATGTGGCTCTAACATGTCTCTTTTATCCTTATGTTTAGTTGTATTAGGGTTTGGAAAGGTTACCCCACCCAAAACTATCCTTAGCTTTTAATTACACTTTCTAATTATGCACCCTTTTATAATCACTAGGGTTTGGTACATCACTCTGAACAAATACCTCTTTTAATATGATCTTTAGTGTTTGGCACCCCTTGCAAATCAAACACCCCCCTTATGGTGTATAAGTTGTGGTACATCTTTATGATCCTCCAGGCTAGTTTTGAGGTGGGAGACCCGTGAAGGTCCGGGTTAGAATGAACCTTCAGTAACCCATGCTTGTCATAAGAGACGACTAGCGGGATCGGGTGGTCAGGCTCGCTGGCTTGGTTGACACATGTCATCGGTTCTCAATTGCGCAGATTGATACTCATGCTGTTGATCACTGGATTGTCTGGTCCAGACTTGATTATTTACAGACTGCCGCCATATAGCTATATAAGATCTCTCACTTTGTTTACACAAATTAATCAAATGCAATTTACGGTAAATCAGTACAATTGTTTTGTGAAGTCTTGAGTAAAAATGTCTAAATGCACATCACAGCCAAACAATCGGTCCCTGATCACCAAAATAACACATCGTTGGACCATAGGTTTTGCCAATGTCATATGTGTGTTCGAACAACAGTGCTCACTTGAGCTGTAACAACAGGTGTTGCATCACACAAGACATTGTGAACTCTTGAAAATTGAATGATGGCTTGTGTTTAGGTTAAATTGTTCTTTAATAAGTTACTTACAAATGTGAATATGCAACATAAAAGCACATCCATTTATCATACTTCATAGCTGAGACAATGTCAGACATGTGTGTTGTGAAACCATAACAATTTTTGTGACATTATATGCCAGTCTTTGATCAGAACACGCGTTATTTTTCATAACAGCCTTCGACTGATATGTGGTTAATTTGATAACTATTGCCGTCATCGTGATTCAGGAGTTTTTCCTATTTGTTGACATGCTGCTCAACTGCTCAACACAAACTTCAAATGGAAAAACATATGTTCGAAAAACTGGCCCTATATCCTAAAACATTTAATCCATTTTACGGACCATTTCATAATCCTATATTCCTTTACCTGACAAAAGTTGCAAAGAATCGCAGATACCTATTTTTCTCACGAGTTACTTTTCATTCCCGTTCTTGACCTTCGTGATTCTAATAACGCAGCAAATATAATTATTCTTTTTATAAATAAAATAATATATACAGAATACAAATAATATTTGGCAATGAACGAAAAAGTTGGCCAGTTAGACTGTAAGATATATAAAATTCATAAGTCATTATTGCGCATAACGTGTTATTTACTCCAATCATCGTGAAGAATGACGACGACATCCGTTGCACGAATAACTCTCGGCATTTGATTGGTCGTTTGGCGAAATGCGGTAGATTGAAATTTCACTTACCGCTCGTTCTAGTAGAAGTCTGTTTTGAAAAAGCGTTTCGTTTCTTTTGGCGAAATGGCAGAAACGGAATTAGGTCCTATGGATGTAGAATGGGATTATAACTGCCCACAATACGTCGATTTCAGCGAGCCGTTACCTCTGGATGATAGCGCAGACAAATGGTTTGGTGAGAAATTTGATCGTGATCACACAGTCTGGGTATAATATGCTTGAACAAGTTGAAGTTGCTGAATCAGATCAACACTAAGATATCAGGATATCAGATAGTTTCAGAGGTTTTATGTATAATTTGGATCCTTGGTATATTACAGGGACCTATCACAGTTAATGATCCCCTCATGATTTATATTTGTAATGATTTTCACGGGCATCAATCTTTATCCTGTTGTTTGAATAGGAACAGTAATGTCAACATGTTCATGTCATAATTTTGGCTTCTTCAAATAAGTGTCTAAATATAATGTTCTTTAATATGATCACAAACATTCTCGTTTAAACATATTTTATTCCATTCAAGAAGAAAGAAAAGGATTGGCAAACACGCCTAATTGGCTTATATACACAAACATTCTGTATATAAACACAAAGTATGTCCTCAGTTTCATTTGTCCTCCACTTGTATCCTGGTTTTTACACAGTGCTTTTGACGTTTCAGAAGGAGAATGTTAAGGTCAAATTAGGTCCGTTTGCCACATTTTGTAACAGTTCTGAGCAAATCTACAATCGTCAGTATTTATAATAATATAACTAAGCCAAAGGCACACCCTCAGATTTAATTACTGAATACAAATAGGATATACTGTGCATGAGTCTGATACAATGCGATTAGTGATTTTAGAAACTATTCACATAAACTAGTGCATCGGTATGGCCTCAGTCCCGCAAATCAGCTGTTTGGGATAATCTTGGCTTCTGTTTTTTTATGGCATCAGAAGAGATTATAAGGAAGAAAGAAACATATCCTGTTGTGGCCATCCACACTGCTACACCCCCTATTCATTAATGTTTAACATATGTTTTTGCCCCAAAATAATCGCAAAAATGCCAAACTGTTTGTTGGTGAGTTTGTAGATATACGAATAGTAAGGTCAAACATTTTTGATAGAATGTGACCCTTTATGTATGTTTAAGTGATGTATACTATAGCTTTGTTGTGGGTAGATGTCTTTTAAGTCTATTTCATCAGTCTTGTATGTTTTCACCCTGGTTCACAATACATATATCTGAGCAGAAGACTACAGAGTCACTTCACTGACCTTAGCTGGTATTCTTCAATGCAATTTGAATGCTTCAGATGCAGACCATGAAGATTTTGAAGATAGCTCCATTCGTATCAGTTCAGGTTGGTATTGCTTTATGATCTTTATGTAAATCAGTGCCTCAGGTTACTTCTACCCTATGAAGACCCAGGTTAAAATTGGTCTTCAGCAACCTTTGAAGTATGAATTGTCGTGAGATGCGACTGATACTGAGTGATAGGATTGGTTATGGTTACTTCAGCAACAAAACAAACTAGACCTCAATTTCAGAAGATTAAACAGATGTTTAAACAACATGTAACAGTCGTCAAGTGAATCACGATCTTTTATTTTAGCCGCTAGCATTAGCGACTCAAGTAGTGAGTGAGGTTAGTTTTATGCCACACTCTGCAATATTACAGCTATATGGTGGCGGTCTGAACCAGACAATCAGCTGCTCAAGTTAAGTTACTTGCCTTTGTTTACTCTTGATGTTTCAATGATGGCAGCATGTAGATTGAAGTGCAATGATATCACATGTGTGATATTTATTCTTATGTGAAGTATGTGCGATGTATCTTGTTGATACTGTTAAAGCCTGGAACAATGAATGTTTTTAGTTTCATGTATACAGAAGGCTTGTCATGTGAGAACTGTATTACTGAAACTGTTAAAAATCACAAATTCGAGTTCATGTCTGTTTGAAGTTTGGAAAGTTTAGCTTTCTTAACGAAACAAGATATATACCAACACAAGTATGAAAATGTCAAATACACACAGCTACAAACATGTCATAAATTAAAAAAGATTAGTTACCAACAACTGTGATGAACACAGAAACAATTCTATATGTATAGACAACTATTTTATTGCAATGGATGCAACATTAGTGTGTAGACGTGAACACCGTTATGTCAAGCAAGTTAAATTAGCACCCAACACATACAAGTTAAATTAGCACCTACACCGAAACGTTGCATCCATTTCTGTCAAAGGTTCTGGAGAAGGCGGTGGAGATCAGTCTTTTAGACCATTTAGAATAGGAACAGTTATATGAATTCCAATCAGCATACAGACAGAGGCACAGCACTGAGACAGCTCTTGTCCGAGTGGTAAATGATCTGTGCATGGCAGTGGATTCTGGAAAAGTATCTCTCCTAGTGTTGCTGGATTTATCATCAGCCTTTGACACGATTGACCACCAGAAGTTGTTATCCAGGCTAAAGACTGATTTTGGAGTGTATGACACAGTTCTGGCATGGTTTGCCTCATATCTGTCAGACAGGAGCCAGTCAGTTGTTGTGAAGACAGTCCACTCACAAAGAGTTCCTCTATCCTGTGGCGTACCCCAGGGGTCTGTCCTGGGGCCCATCATGTTCACCCTCTGAAGCAGCTGGGTCAGCTCCTTGTAGAAGAGAAAATGAACAATCACTTGTACGCTGACGACACCCAGATGTATGACTCGTTTGCAATAGAGCAGGAGGAACAGCACAAGACATGGGCAAAGATGGAACATTCCATCTCTGATGTTAAAGAATGGATGACTCTGAATATGTTTCAGCTAAACGAGGAGAAGACGGAAGTTGCTGTTATTGGGCCTAAGACCAAGCTTTCCAAGTTGTGTCAAGACAAACTACACATTAACCAGACAAGCATCGATATGTCCCCTGTTGTGAAGAATCTAGGTGTCCTAATTGATGTTGGATTATCAATGGAACAGCAAGTGCACAACAACATTATGTAAAAGTTGTTACTTTCAACTGAGAAACTTGGGGAAAATCCGTCATCTCATAACTGAAGATTCAGCTGCAACGCTCGCTCCCTGCCTGATTCTGACACGCACAGACTACTGCAATAGTCTGCTTGCAAACACACCGGCAACACTCCTCAGTAAGCTTCAAACAATTCAAAATCAAGCGGAGAGGATAGTCACCAGATCTCCCATAGAATGCACATAACACCTGTGCTTAAGGCGTTACATTGGCTCCCAGTAGCGGCGAGAGTGGACTTTAAACTCCTCACCCTGGCATCTCAGTGCGTTCACAATCTGGCCCCATCATACCTGTGTGACCTTGTATGTATGTACATTCCACCACGTTCTCTCAGGTCTGAGAATCAACAGAGACTCATAGTGCCACCATGGAAGAAAATGTCCTTTGGTTACAAGTCCTTTAGTGTTGCAGCTGCAACTAAATGAAACTCACTGCCAGACTCTCTCAAAGACGCCCAGTCGTTGGAATAATTTAAGTGTCTCTGAAAGACTCATCTGTTCCATTTGTACTTTTAAAGTGACCTTGTACGGCTACAAGTTTTTACTACTTTTCCTTGACTCTTGTATGCGCTATGAGCACGTCCCAGTGGAGTTTAACGCCATATATATGGACATTGCAAGAAAGAAGGTGTCAATCCATGTAAAATCGTTCCTGTTTATCATACCAGCTTCTATAGTCCGTTTGGCTCAAAAGCGGACCGATGAATTGCAATCTAACTTGAAAACTAAGAAACATAACGGACTGTAAGTGCCACTCAAAGAAGTAAAACAATTGTGATCTTTGTATTGTGTGCATGTTTGAGCATGTTGAGTTGTCAGAACGTGAGCTGATGATAAATCATGGTTATGAAGGGTTTGGTCTCAAAGAAAGGGCTGTGATGATCAGAATTTTCAGTGAAGCATGACTAGTATTATTGAAATGACAATCCATGTCATAGTCCAGGGGTGGAAATAACTTTAAAATTGATAGTGTCCTCCGGTACAGTGGCAGATGTAATGTCACTTGCCCTGATAATTTTTCCCCTATACCAACCATTTTCCTGCTGATTTTTTTAAAAACCAACATAATTAACATTGGAAAGTCAAGTGAACACCGGTACAGTGTGATATACAAATTTGCTTGTTTGACAGAAAAAAACACTGGACTCGGACGTCGGGCAGTGGGTTATTTCCACCCCTGTAGTCAACATGGAAGAACATGACACTACAGCATTATGTTGCAAGTGATATGCTACAGCCAGCTTTGGCATTGAGTATCAGTATAATAATCACATTGCATCTATTGGTCGTGTACAGCAAAATGTTTGAAATGTTAAACATGTTATAAATGATTATTTTCAGAGTACAAAAATGAAGTTCAGAAACCCCTGGAAGGAAATGTGAAAACTCCCAAAGTACAAACCCCTACTCCTCAAGCACAGGTGGCACCAATGAAATCAGGTAGCAAAGAAGTTCTGACATAAATAAATGCATAAAAACTGTACACATTTTTTTGTCAATCTAAAAGCATTGAAATCAATTTTTTTGAAACAATACTTCAGCAAAAAAACCCCTCACAAACTGCTTATTTAATTGTTAACACACAAAAAACGGGCGATTATGTACTGCCCTTGATTAGAAAAATATCAAGACTCTGATATTTTGGGTGTTATTTAGTGGGCTTATTAGTGTTTTGATGTTCCTTTGTGATTTCACATGCACCATTCTGTCTTTCTCGTAGTGCTGGTACAGAGTGATTGAATAATCAGTCAATCAATCTCCGTGCTTCAGTGATTATCAATGAGCTCAGGAAACTAATCAATATTCATAATAGAATTCAACTTTAAATTAAACTTTAGAAAGTATGTTTCTTATTGTTATGTTTGTTAAATGAAGGTATAAACAACTGATGCAGTTTTTGTACTTGTAAGACTGCAATGTACACAATGTTATGATTGTGACCTGTTACTGCCCACATGAGTTTTGTGGTGAGGCTTACAATTACAACAGATTGATCACTGAGCTCCAATTATCAATCTGCATGTTGTGACTGAGCGATAACCAGAAACTTTGAATTATGGTAGTGACTTTGCCACTTAGGATAGATTTGCTTTGTTAGGATTGATGACATCTAGAACTCTTGTATCATGCATGTTCACTTGTTTTCACTGCAGCACTTATCATTATATTGTCAATTGCATCTTTGCTTCCTTTATTTATGAACTCATGTAAAAACTTATGTAACCATCATAATTTTGTAAGTGTTATGTTGCTAGGGTGGTATTTATATAAGCATAATTATTAAAATGCTTGTTTACTAACCCAGGTTTCTGGAAATATATATATATATAAATCATTTGCTTTGATAGGATTTAGTATTTGGTTTAATTAGGGCTCCTTGCCTCTAGGCAGGAGACCTATTGTAATCGTTCGGATTATTATTATTATTTATTATTTTGCTGATTTTTGTACCAAACTTACCTCCTAAACCAATGCTCCAAATCGCTTACAAAAAATCACACAGATGCCCACCGAGGTGAAGATATTCCCCTTAAAAATCTCTAGGCTCTAGCCCAATAGCATTGGGGAGATAATTCAAAATTAATTCCACAATTTCAAAGTTTGACAGCAAATATCTCAAGAACTAATTGTTCCAACACTTCCAAATCTCTTGTACATATGCACAATCGAATTCCCAACAATTTTGCCTGGACGGTTCAAGTCGCTAAATTGTACCGTTTGGCAGTTATTTTTTGTTTTCAGTTTTGGCCATGTTTTTCAGTAGTTTCTGTGCAAATTCAGTATGCCATGTGCCAGTATGATAGATGAAGCCTTGGTGATTCCAGAACACTAATTGTTTTGACCGTAGACCTAAGAACAACTGGGATACAGCCTTTTTAAAGGGAACTATTTCTTCTCCAGAACTTCTTAAAAGGTACATTACTCCCTCGACCCGGCTGTATTTGGAAGATCCGCTTTCGCCTGTCAGGTAGCAAAGAAGTTCTGACATAAATAAATGCATAAAAACTGTACACATCTTTTCTGATTTCTTTGCTGTACGCCTGTCAAAATGTCGTGTTCTGGCTCCATTTTGGATGATGATTTCAATAGCCCAACATCAAGGGACAATTTCAAACACCCGTAACTCTCAAACCAACCCGTCTGATTTAGCGCTTTAACCAAAATGCTACCTGTACAAGTGGGATATTAATGTTGATTTAACCACTCAAAGACTAGCCTACCGCCCCATATTAACTAAAACTTACAACTTTCATGATTGCAGTAATGTAGATAGAACTTAAGCCGAGCAGCCCTCATCGTTGCTTGTAACTATATTTTTTTTTGTATTGCTTGGACCTTGCTGAGTGAATCTGTAAGAATCATAGTAAGAATTTATGATTTTGTTTGCCTTGTGGGTGGCAAAGACTTGTGTGTTTAGTGCCCAGGCCAGTGTTCATGTAGCTAGTGTGGTGTGTTTTTCGCAATGCTTGGGTTTGTAATGAGATAAGTGAGGTTTCCTTGCATTGTGAAATGGAACACGGTTGTACATAAATGTTGTGATAACAGGTATTCATTCTGTAAAGTGGTTGTAATTATAACACCTAATTCTCAGTCCTTTGAGGTGAAAGCACCTGTAGCTTCAGACTCAGCTATTGTAAGCCAGGTTTAACTAATCTTGTAAGCCAGGTTTAACTAATCCTTAACTGTAATTATTAACGATGTGGTTGTAATTAAGCAGCATTTGCATTGTGTTGAAGCAGACAAGCCCAACTCACATGTCTGATGTCAGCGGAAGTGAGAGAACATCAAAGGCTCTTTAATGACAGGCTACCTAGTATGGTCAGCTTGTCTCATCTGTGTCACCTAGTGCTCACTGCTACAGAATAAACATCAGACATTGTTACTTAGGCATGCCAATGCAATTTGCTTACAGTGTCGTTTCGTTTCTCACTTTGTCGACAGGTGAGAATGTCTATCAGATTGATTTAAATATTGTGTTTGGGCTGTGTCAGTGTAGTACATAACCTTGTAGCAGGTGGTGCAGTGTAAAAGGTATTAACTGATACTACGAAGGAGGTAATTGTAGTCGGTTCCATTGTAGTAGACAGGCGGTGCAGGCAGCAGGTATGAAATGGTACTGTCAAGGTGGTCAGTGTTAAAAGTCTCAGCCACATATCATAACTCAATTAAATGGGGAAAATAAAAATTACATCGGTGGATCATAAATATCTACTTGATCTTATGTTTGTCCTGAATTTAGTATGGGCTAAATCTTTGGTTATCATCAATGATCTGCCTTATGATCTCTCTTCCTTACAGACCTAAAGGCAGAAATAAATGTTGTGGTTGTATATCCTGTAATACTCAAAACCATGTTTACTGTTGAATTCAATATTGTTCTGACTACGGTGAACATGCTTATGTTTAGAAATTGGTATGTATTACCATGATAAGTAAATTTGGTAGATACTAATTGTAAATGAATTTAATTTTTTAAGAGGGAAGCGCAGGAACAGTTACTCGTCAACAAGCAAAGATGACCCCACCATCATCAAATATCATCACCTCCCTGGATGAATGGAGGGCCAAGAAGCCACAAACTGTAACACAATCGAAAGCCGAGTAGCAAGAAAGTGGGAGTAGTGGCGCCTTTGAGACCTGGGTAAATATTGTTAGCTTCTCTTCAGCTATTGTTTAAATATCTTGTTTATTGTTTTAGTGTTGCTTTAACATGTTTATATAACTATGCTTATGTTCAGTGCTGCTGTAAAATGAAAATCATATAAGGCAATCAATCTCCTTTTTATGGTAAATATTGTTTTGTTGCATCCTACCAATGCCACTGATGTCAAAGAGCAACCATGCTATTTGTTCTCTAGGAAAAGAGCAAACAGCTCTTCTGGTGGTGATGTTTCCAATCTGAAATCAACTGACGTGTCCCCAGTTACATCAACCAGTGACAGGTTTGTTGTCATTTATGTCATGTAAAGTAATTTATGGAATCCAAATGTTTTGGTTATAATCAGGGCTCCAGATAAGGGCCGTATCGCGTATGTATGGAAAAAAAAATATGCACGATACGGTAGGAAATAATTTAGAAAACGTAGCAGATACTCACCACAGCAATGGTGTACGGTCTTAGAATCACTTACAGACGTATTTATCTGAAAAAAAGTATTGTTTTATTGTTTACACAAGAGTAGCAATGTTGTGGTGCATATATGAAACGAAACACAAGATTACTGATAGTCCATTAGCTTCCATTCAGTACTCTAAATGTACACTTAAGGTTTTGCAGTACTCAATATTGAACAAATAAGGAGTATGTACTCCTGATGTTGAAAAATTATCTGGAGCCCTGTTATAATATTATATATGATGGCCTAATTATTTTACTGAAAGCATCATGTGTGACTCATGACATAGACTGATATACTGTTTATGGTTATTACCCCAGATTATGGTTATTTGTCCATTCATTACTGTACCTTGCCCACCAATAACAGCTTGCTGAATCTGTTTTATTGGAAATTGAGCATTGTACACCATATGTACACATAGTTTTGACTGGATAACAATGTGAGTTCTGTTAAGTACATGTCAAGTACTAATCTAAGTTCTTGTTCATGTATATTTGATTTTTTAATAATTTATGGCTTTGTGATCGTGTTTGTCTTGTAATAACTGATTTAGATTATAGATGATGTAATTCGCTTTATGGGTTTCATATTTTGTTCACTTATAAATGTTTTACAATAATGTTTGTGATCATATTGTAGCCAAAGGCCTGCTCTGAAAAGACAACGGATCTCTGGTAGCAACATTCGAAGGAGTGGTTCCCAAAGCAAATTAGAAGGGTCAAATAATTATCGAAGAAGTGGGTCCCAAGACAAAATGGAAGTTTCAAGCAAGAGATCTTTAAAGAGGAGCAACTCTTCAGCCAGTTCATCCAAACCTGAGAGAATAGCTCGTCCCCATACTCGAGGCTATTCAGCTGGTCGTCCAGTTCCCCAGAATATAGAGGACGCTGAGGCTCCATGTGCTAAGATGCCCAGAATGCCAACCCTTCCCACAACACCAACCTTTATGAGGTGAATATTGACACAGAAGATAAGATAGTATTCATTTGTTCACATCTTATGCAGCAATAGGAAATAATGGCTTGTTTGGTGGGAATTCTGCATATAGGTCTACAACAACCAATACGGGCTAGTTATCCATTTTATTCATGTACATTTGTGCAGTAGAATATGGTAAGCAAGTGTGACAGCCCTCTTCATCGACATCATATTCAATAGTGTAATGACATCACAGACGAAGAAATACAGAAACAATGGCAAAAGTGATAAGTGCATATGTGCACATTTGATATATATGAAATTGGTTATGTTTTACCATATGGGTAATACTTGGAATATCCACACTGCTTGTTAGTTACACAATATGCTGCAATCTTCAGGAGGAAACAACTGGCTGCTGGGTCTCCTCGGGTTAAAACTACAGAGGAGCAGGAGTTGGAACAGATCGCACAGATGAGGAAGGAGCTGGCCAAGAAGAGAAAGATGGCTAAGGACTCCCTGCTGAAGAGTAAGAATGCTCCTGGTTATGCCCCTGTGTGTAACTCCCGGGAACCCACTATAGTACAGGACTTCAAGTTCAGCACAGACAGTCGACTCAAGTCACAGCACCAGGACGTCCAAGATGAGAGTACAGTTGACTTTGTGAGGTGTCTCCGTTCTAATACAGCCTCCTCTTCACAGGTTAGGATTTTGTATGCAGCATCAGTACCCCTATGTACAGATGCAACTTCATTTGACATATGTAATGAGAAATAATTTTGAAATTTGAGCACACACATGTGTGTACTCATCTATGCACCAATTCTGTTTGTATCTTTATGTCAGTAATGGAGAAATTCAGACATTGGTTTTAATCATCAGCTGAGGTTACTAGAAGATCAGGTAAGAAATTTGACTAGAAGCTGACATGTATTTATATGATTGGACCTTTATCCAGTTTGTCTACATCTTCTTTAATATATCAGCAGGGCCCAAGAAGTTTAACCAGACCACAGCCCTTCAAGCTGACAACCAGCCACAAACCAGCACCACAGACAGAGAAGTTCCAGTCCATGGCGCAGTCTGTTGCAGCTTTCCACAGATCTACACCCGACAGGTTCAGAAGAAAACCTCGAGGTAGGAACTGTAAAGCTGTAGAGTAGTAGTGTATAATGGGTGTTGTGAAAACATTTTGGTGGATCAAAGGATTGTACATGTTTGTTTAGGTGAAAGGATTAGGATTAAAGAAAGTAATCCCTGTCATATGGGAGTTTCAAAGGGAGTAGTCATTATGTCAGTCCATCAGTTGATTAATCCTGTTGAGCTTTGTTTGAGCTGTGTGGTGATGAGGTGGGGTATATAGGTCGGGACCATGACAGGTGGTTCCCACATCTCGGTCTGTTGTACAGAACAGCAGTTTCATTTGGACATCTCGCACAACATTTGTTATTTGGATGTCTCATCTCTGGATGAGTGAATATTTCTAACTTTAGAACATCAGCAATCGTTGTCTGCTTTTATTTTCTTCTGTCACATTTATGACAGCTGTAACCTACAAAATGTCATGTGTTTTCAGCCACCAGCTCTGATAGAAAGTTACTCAAGGCACGATCACCTCACGCCCTTCGCCTCACCCAACCAGAGACGCCCAAACTAGAGACACGTCATCGTTACCGGGCACCGACTGTGCCAAGTCAGAAGGATATTGAGGACCAGGAGTATCAGGAGATTATGAAGTAGGCATCACAGTTTCTTGTGGGTTCAGAGTACTTTCCACATGCTTTTGACAATTTGTGTATCTGGATAGGTTAACTCAGCCACGTCCTGCCAGATTAATTGACCTGATTTAATGTTGTATCCTATTTCATGTGAGAATATATGGGTATATATGAGATATATGCATTTTACCATGCATGGTAATTGTAAAAGAAAATGTACATCTTTCTTGGGGAAAAGTAATTAAGCCTACTCTCCATGTACAGAATGGTATGTAAGTATATGATGTACTTTAAAACATTATGACCAAGGGATGTAACTGATGGGACCTAAACCACTTCTTATAGTCCATTATCTAATATAGTCCTTTAATCCTGTTTTTCATCCCTTTTTCGTTTACAGATATCAGTTCAAGGCTAACCCAGTGAACACAAGGATCATGAGTCAGGCCACAGGTCTCTACAAACCAGAGCCAAAGCCAGCGACCAAACCAGAGGAGTTCAACCTTCACCTGGACAGGCGCTTCCAGGAACGGCCAAATAAAGCTGCAGATGAAGATGAATTTGTTTTCCATGCTCAGCCTGTGCCGAGGAAGATTCTGGAGGGAACAGTGGTAAGTTATTCTACCTTACATTCTGACTTGTATCATCTTCAGTGTGTGCCGTGTGAGTATAAATTCAAAGGTGAATTATTGTTATTCTTTATTATGAGAGACCGCCTCCGTGGTGTAATGGTTACAGCGTCCGTCCGGAGAGCGGAAGGTCGTGGGTTCGATCCCCGACTGCGTCATACCAAAATAAAATATGGTACTGTCTGGCGCTCGGCATTAATGGGTACAACAAGGACTGGTCCGCTCGGAGTCAGTATAATGTGTCTGAGTAGGGTATTCATGCTTCACTGCGGCATGGTATCTCAGTGGGCTAGCACTATAAAACCAGCTTCAGTCTGGGCTAGTACAAGCAACCGCACATACACACGCATGCATTCTCCATTGCGACGTTAAACCCAATTTCACCTCATCAGCAGGTTTCATCAACAAGTTCAGATGTTTGTTGAACTGTGGTCATTTGTTAACTAAATAATCCCTCAATTATCAGGAAACATTTTCTTTGTCTGTGTAGTTTTGAGGTGGGACTGGGTTTATTTGCTGGGTTTATTTCACCAGCTGTTATTATATGTAAATTAGCTTGGTACACCATGACTTAAACAGTCTTTCTTGTTACTGTAGGGTGTAAAGCCAGCCAAGGAGATACCTACCACAGTGCCTCAGTCTCCAGCGTTTGCTCTCAAGCATCGTGTCCGGCTTCCTGTGGAAATACCACAAGAAAAGGTAAGTGCTGTTTCTGATTGGTAAAGTACAGTACCATTTATTATCCCCCGCAACGCGTTTTGCGGGGGGTATTAAAATGGACTCCGTCCGTGCGTCCGTCCGTCCGTGCACATTTGTCTTTTCTGGAGCAATATATCTTCACCAAACTTGGCACATACATGGATCTGGTGGTGTACTGGTGCCTTTTGGTAGTTATGGAATTCTGAATAAAATATTTTTGACGTTTCCATGGCAACAAGTTTGACTTAGCCTGAAATTGTGGTAGTGCTCTTTTCCGGAGCAGAACTCTAAAACTGTTCACTATTTCTTCACCAAACTTGGCACATAGATAGATCTGGTGGTGTACTGGTGCCTTTTGGTAGTTTTGGAATTCTGAATAAAATATTTTTGGCGTTTCCATGGCAACAAGTTTGACTAAGCCTGAAATTGTAGTAGTGCTCTTTTCCGGAGCAGAACTCTAAAACCGTTCAATGTTTCTTCACCAAGCTTGGCACATAGATTGGTCTGGTGGTGTACTGGTGCCTTTTGGTAGTTTGGGAATTCTGAATAAAATATTTTTGGCGTTTCCATGGCAACAAGTTTGACTGAAATTGGTGATAGTGCTGCTTTCTGGAGCAGAACTTTAAAAACCTTTCAATACTCTCCTTCCACTTTTCTATATACACACCTAAATATTTGACATAATCATATCTCAGAGACATAATCATGAAGAGTATTTTGCCATTGCGGGGGATATTGATCACTTTTTCTTCTTGTTAATTAACCATAGTTATTGGAATTAGTGGGACTTATTAGAATTATTCCTTTGAACAATCTATGATTGCTGTGTTGTAGGAAACAGAAAAGCCTTTGCCCAAGGCTCATGCTGTGCCTCACCCAGGCATCCCGTTCCAGCCCAAACTGTCCCACAGGACAACTACCCCAGAGCCATTCAGCTTTGAGAGTCGCTACCCTGACCCCATTGCTGTGAAGGAGGCCAAACTGCGGCAGAAACTTGAGGAGGAACAGCGGGTAAGGGACTCATGATGTGTTCATTGAATTCGTAACCATGAACAAAATGAAACGAATTTCCTGGAACTGAATGTGCTGAGTGATGCTGACCAGAATGCCTTTTCATAGTCTTGGTACTTCCGTATCTGTTGAGTTACTGTGGTGGTGGGACAGCAAGCCTGGGTTTGTAAATTGAACACCCACATGGTATCAATGTATGAAGCCCAATTGTCATGGGGGCAGTGGGGTAGCATGGTGGTTAAAGCAGTCTTGTCATGCCGTAGACCCAGGTTCAAATCCCCACATTGTTACAATATGTGAAACCCATTTCTGGTGTTCCCCACCGTGATATTGCTGCAATATTGCTAAAAACTGAACTCACTTACTCACTCACTCTGTTGTCATCTGTAACACTATTGCAGGAATATTGCTATATGTGAGACATATAAAAAAACAATAAACAATTTCATCTATTACTTACTGTGGCTGGGAGACTCTTACTGTACAGTGGATCTGAGGAGTGAGATACATGCATTTCCACCTATAGTCAGTACCCTGAATGTTCTTCACATCCACGACCCGTGAACATCCGGGGTAGAATAGGTCTTCAGCAACCCATGCTTGCCACAAAAGGCGACTATGCTTGTCGTAAGAGGCGACTAACGGGATCGGGTGGTCAGGCTCGCTGGCTTGGTTGACACATGTAATCAATTCCCAGTTGCACAGATCGATGTTCATGCTGTTGATCACTGAATTGTCTGGTCCAGACTCGATTATTTACAGACCTACCATATAGCTGGTATATTGCTGAGTGCGGCTTAAAACTAAACTCACTCACTCACTTCACATCCACAATATTTTTCCTTATCCTGGACAAGGGATTTAAATTATTTCTTTAGATTGACAGTAATAGTTCTAGCTCTTTATTAGATATGACAATGATATTTGATTTGTCGACAAATACCTTGAAACATCCTTATCCTGATACCTGTGTATTTTATTCTGTGCCACAGGCACGGGAGTTCCGGGCCAACCCTTTGCCACGTCTGGAGCCTGTTCTGCCCGAGAGACACACCAAGCTCTGTACAAAGATGGAACCATTCAACCTCCAGAGTGAGATCAGAGGTGCCAAGAAGTCAGAAGAGTGGAACCACAAGGTTGTAAGTTAATCCATGAAGATGAGTGACCCTAGAATCTGGCAATACTTGCAGCTTACGAAGAGTAATCTTCTGGAATTATACATGTGTTTTGGCGTAATTCCATGGCGTGCCCTCAATCGTTTTGGCATGCTTTTCCTGGTGTCCAAGTACAGTTTATACTCTAGTAGAAATCATTGGTTCCAAAAGCTGCTAGTTTTGACCATGATCTTTCAATGTCGAGTGTATCATGTTTGCCTAGAGAAGTCACAGGACTAACGGAAGCAGGCTGTCCTGAGGAATAACAGATGACTGGCTTATTTTAACAGCATTGTATGATGAGAGCTGCCTTCATATGGCAAACTGAAGTTTGACAACACATGTTGAGAGTGTGAACATTCCAACTCGCCACCAACACTGATTTCAGAGTTGTCAAACTGTTGTCGAGAAATAGGATCGGTCTCTATTCTCACAACTTTTCCATCAAACTTTCTGTGTTGTCAAACTTGAGTTTGACGTCTGAAGTGTAGTCAAACTTGTGGTGTTCAGAAACAACCAATTGCAGTCAACAAAATGGTCACATGACCTCACCGATAGAGACATGGCGCTCAAATGAAATGAAAGTTTGACAACATGTGTTTGACTTGTGAAAACGCCAATTTGACAACTTGTAAAATGTGTAAAGGTCGCTTTAGACAAATCGACCCACAATATCTAAAGTGTATATTTGAACGCAGACCAATGTGATATATTTTATCAATCTTATAGTGTACTTGTCGGTTGATAAGGCATTGATGTGAACCAAGTATAATGTTTACATGTGCTTAAAACTACATTGCAACTGTTAACCAAGGATATATTAGGTATTTACGTGATAATAATAATAATAATAATAGTCCACTTATATTGCGCATTTATCCATGCACATTGCATGCTCAAAGCGCTGACATATTACCCCTGGTCAACAAGTACAGAACACTGTACAGAATACAACCGGTCGCCTGTCAGGCACAAGGTTCAAATTCAGACTACCATCGTATCATACCAGGGTGCCGTTGTACAAATCTTAAGCTTAGGTGACTGTAACTCATACCTTAACATAGACTTAAGGTAGCCTCAGCGCGTTTTGTACAACGACACCCAGGTACCCAATTTTACTGCTGGGTGGACAGAGGCAAGTTTGAACAAACTCACTTGCCTATGGTGAGACAACATGTATCACATATTCTTTGTTGTGGGGCAGGACTGAAGTCCTAGAAACTCTTAGGTCAAGCTGCCAAACATGGTCACCCATCCGAGGACTGTCCGCAACCACCGTTGCTTAACTTCAAACGATTGTGACCTGAGCTCTATGCACAGGACCACGCACCGCCACTACATATTAAGCACTACAGAATTGTAACATGTAACATGTTAAGCACTACAGAATTGTGAAATACAAATAATCTCAATGGATGATAGCTGTTCCACAGTTGTCTCATTTCCATCATTTCTCATGTCTTCAGTTGGAAGAGGAGCAGTTGAAACAGAAGCAGGCGGCGATGTTCAAGGCCAGACCTGCCGACGTTGTCCACCAGGAACCCTTCATGCCGCAGAGATCTTCACGAGCACTGACAGGTGAGTAATGCGCACAGAATGTGGCAATATAGACATGTATGCAGGATATTTTCTTCATATATTATGAGGGCTAATTTCACAACAGAAACACACTTCCCACCCCCACCCCCTATTACATGCTGTGGTTCTGAGAACAGCAATCTCAAAATTAGGTTTGATAGTTAAGGATTCTTTCTTTCTATTTTTATTACTTTCATAGATTGTAAAACTAAATGATAGTAAAACGGAATTCTATGCTTTGTGTGACCCAAACATCATGCAGTGTAACTTGAGGGAAGATTTATTTAGTGATCTGTAAATGTCTTCATTGCTTTTGTCTTAAATCTGCAAGTGATAGAAAACTCTTTTGCATTTTATATTAGCCATTCCAATGGCAATTCTGATTTACTTAGCCAGTCATCCGTGTGAATGATCTTGCATCCATCGGCCCATAATTAAACCGTAGAGAATGTTTTTATCCTTTTAACCCATTAAACCATTAAAAATATTGCAATATGTATTGTTTGAAAAGGGAATTGTGGTATACCGAGTTTTCTGTTTTCTGTTTAGATGTGAGTGAGTTGACTCTGAACACCGAGAGACGAGCTGTTGATCGGGATGAGTATGAATTGAGAAAGAAGGCACGAGAGGCTCAGCTGGCAGAACTGAACCATGAACGGGAAGCACAGAAGATGGAGGAAGAGAAGGCTGCTATTGCTAAACTGCGGGCAGAGATGGTTCACAAGTCCAACCCAATCAGAAAATTCAAACAGGTCGTTGTCCAGGGCAGCGAGAAACCACCAACATGTCCAGAGTCCCCTAGATTCTCAGACAGACTACGAGGCAAAGTCCGAGTATAAGCAACAGTTGGCACTGATATCTCTTCATTCATTTATTCATACACGTGTGAATACAGCTCATCCAGTTGATTGTTGCAGACAGCCAATTTGGCTCCATCTCATCAATAGCAGTCAAACAGAATCTTGGATAGTAAAACACTGTACATATTTCTGACTTCAGTATTGTACAGATTCAACTACAGTTACATCAACAGCATTTAGACTATGCCCTGTCTCTAGAACTGCATATTATTAGATTTGATTTTTGTAAGTCATAGCTTTATTCCTTCACTTGGAATCAAAGAACACTTGGAATCAACAGGTCTCATTTGCAGAATCATGATCAAATGTTGAATATCGTAACATCATCTTCAGTGGAACAAATTTAAGCTCATTTTATTAAAAAACATTGCTTCTGTGTAAGCATTTTTATTTATGTTTATATTAGATTTTATTTATCGTTAAAACAGCAATTTGTAAGCATTGCAATAGGCTTACCAGGGGATTAGGATTTCCTTCAGGAATATCCAGATGTATTATAAGGCAATATTATTTTATTGCATTACAAGACAATCCGATATTTCCAATATTGAAAAGATTTCTTTCTTCTGCCAAGGTTGATAAGACCTTGTAATAATAACCTTGAAGAGAAGGCAAATCATTTTCATCAGCTGTGAGTTTTTGAGTGGCAAAGCTCCTTAAACATAATATATTTAATTACATCATATGGCATCTAGCAAAATTGTGTTAATGTAACTTCCAGGCCAATGCCCTCAAAATGTGTGATTGTTTGACTGCAACTCCAACATGCAAGGTGTAGTGCTGCTCCGTGACAATGCTGTATCCAAGGTGATACAGGTAGAACTACTGCAAGTCTAAGCAAACTTTGAGGGAAATATTGTAGTCTGTTTTCAGATGATTACTTAGATTTCACAATGTGTGATGGTATGATATGGTGACAGGCCAATAATCATTATGTTTATTTCCTTGGATGAAAAAAGCACAAGTATGCACATGTCCTATGTACTTTGTTGCTGGTGTCTTTGACACCCTTGAAGCACCTGATGCTGCATTTAGTTGTACATATGAGTGGAGAGCTTGCTAAATGTTGGTCTCTGTGCTCAGACTTCTCTGCCTGTTATGCCTCGTGTCTTTTCTACCTTCTGTATCTCTCCATGAGTCATTTCCCCTTTGTAATTATGTAATCTAATGCTATGTGAATAAATTAAGAAACCCAATAAACACTTGTGTTTTTAATATGATCACCTTTGAATATGAACTACAATTGCTGTGGCGGGATGCCAAAGGTGTCATGGGTTGGAACAAGCTTGTGTAGTCATATTCATTGGGAATTTTCAAATGCATTCATGTGGCATTGATGAAATCAAACTTGAAATTTCCCGTCACTGTGTTCTGATGTTTGTGACAGTGACAAACCAACTGAGCTTGTAAGTTACCCAGCGGTTGCTGTTCATCTCAAAAGAAAACAAAGAGCAATGCCATTTTTAAAAATATTTTTTACACAAATGTTCATGATACAAACAATGAATCCTTGCAGCAATATGATTCAGACATTATGAATATGAAAATGAATGGTTCAACAGTATGAATGTCTTGAATACTCATTCAAATGCAGTGTTTCTGAATTAAGTAACACTGCATTATAACATGATTGACAAATGTAGCCAGTAGCTCTACACTAGATGACAATGTACATTTAATGGCACACATGATGTGATACATGTATTAATTGATGTCATAGCTTGATCCATTTTCAAAATGTACATTATCATGAAACAATGGTAAATATACCAAACAACTATAAGAAGAAAACCTAAGTAATTTTCAGCTTTTATTGTATCTGTAATCAAAGTTTTCAAGTGCTCAGTCACGGACTCTATGGCCTTTGCCATGTAACAGGGAAATCACAAATTAAAAATGTCACTTCCATAAAGAATTAACCAGTCATGTAAGTCACAAAAATTTGATAACATCTTCTTGTCATGATATGAAAAAATTGTACAAATAGACTATTGCAATAAAAAGGCAGCTCCTCCCAATGCCCCCATTTGGCTAACATCAAACTTACTGCCACAACAATTTCCATGCTGACGTAGTACCAAGGTTGCCAAGCAACTGAAGGCCCAAATTTCTGGCTGTTCAATTATGTGTCTGACATATATTTGAGATGATTTCCAAACATGAGAGGGACAAAAAAACCATTCATTGGTAAATTTGTTTAACTGGCTCTTTCAACATTGTGCACAGATATTTGTGTTAATTATTATTAAAGCACATCTTAACATCATACAGGGTATCCATATAGGTTTTGCAGCTGGTTAACCTGCCTCACAGATGCAGGAAATACATGTGGATCATTGCACAGTTTGAATGAGTGAGTGAATATGGTTTTACACCGCTTTTAGCAATATTCCCGCAATATCAAGGTGGGGGACATTTTGAGGTGTGATATTGAATACCACCTCACATTCATTAACACTGAAGTCATGAGTTCCCACCAAGCAGATCGATGCTCATGCTGTTGATCACTGGATTGTCTGGTCCAGACTTCGATTATTTACAGACAGCCACCATATAGCTGGAATATTGCTGAGTGCGGTGAAACTCAACTCACTCACTCACCCATTAACACTGACAAAAGTTGTGCTAAGATCACTTTGGGGAGGAAGACCCATTCAAGATGGCTTAATTTGTGTAAATCATCCAAACCCCATGTTCTGCTTGCTTGGTTTCTTGTTTAATGCTGTTTTGCAGTATGATACAGCTGACCATGCTATCCTGTACAAAGCAGTCTTACCTTGAGCGAGATATTTTTTCTGATATCTTATATCAACAGTGATAAAGTATATTTGATATCAGATCAGACACGATATATTTGGGAAGACACGAGGGTGAGATTCTATTTATCATCCCAAATCACTCTTCATTAATTTTCAATGAAAAATGTACATCTCTGAACATGGTACTGCCATTAGACTTGCAGTGCAGCGATGTCATAGCATTGTGACGTCATCAAGTACATGACGTCATAGCATTGTCAGGGCATTGTACAAAATCTACTGTCAAAACGATATCTCCTAGGAGATATCGTTTGATCTCACACAAGTGATATCTCCTGTGGAACACAGTTTTGGATGATAATTACAATATACCTAGTGAGCCTTTGTGGAGTGATTTACATGTACATGTTGTACACCCAAAATGTCTGAAATTTATGCGGGGGTTGCACCTTTGCATCTAATCCAGCATGGTATATCGAAGACAATCTTATTACAGTTCACCCACAGTGATGGGTGGAGAAATTCCAGCCCAATGTTTATCAGTTTTTGACAATGTTCTGTTAGTGGAATAGTGTTCGATCTGCTCTTGTCCCAAAGACCAGACACCAGGATACCGGAACCTTCCACTCAGTTGGTCCGGTCGCCTCCTTCCCCACCTCGCTACCAGGAGCAGCCTAAACAACAAAGTCACATGATGTTTGGTGTAACAGCTGCCTTTACAATGTTATAACATCAAGTCATAGCTTGTTTAGATTTGATTGAGCATAGATGATCTAAATTGTTAGATAACACCACTTAGCAACAAGGGAACAGGCATGACATTTGTGTGGATGGTAACACCATGGATGAAGTAAGCAGTAGGCAGGATGCTGTTGTGTAATGTATTCTCTTAATAAGTAGGGAACTTAATTTTTTATTTACAATTGAAAAATTGGGAGATATGAGTCAATATTGATATGGTAATAATGGATATTTGAGAGTGCATCACCACTTGCACTTCCTTATGACCATAGTTGTTTGTACAGTAATCCCTCTTGAAAGATGATTGGTGTATGACGTGAAATTTGCTTGTGTACCATTTTCATTTTCAAACAAAAAACCCCGACTAGAAACAAACACTAACAACTGTGTGATGCAAGATGACTGTCAAAATTAATGGTGTACAGTGATTTATCGACCTTCGTCAAAACCCGTATGGGGCTTCTGCATTGTGTTCATGCATCCCATGCGTTGCGTTTAGGGGGTTGTGATAAAGAGAAATGGTGATGTGTTCATAAGATGTCTGTCTTTGAAAAGTTTGTTAATGCTTATACTTCCTATCCAAATTGAGAGTTCAAGTGCCCCATCTTATTTTAAAGAGTATATTAATGTGCCATAAGGAAAGATGAAATATGTGTCGATTTGATTCTAAAACGAGAGTTTGACAGATTACTGCACTCCTGCCTGTAAGACAGTAACTCCTTGTTTGATAGATGGCCTCTGACACACACAAATGTAATAATCTCCTTATGTACTATATACATATAAGATGGTACACCTCTGCTTACCTTTAAAGAGACAATCCCAAGCCAATTATTTAACTGTGTAACCATGGCAACAGCATCATGGGCATTGTCCCCTTCTGAGCAGAACATCATCATCACAACAACTGACGTGTCGGTTTTGCTGAAACAATAACATTTACACCATCATGGAATAGTTTAAACACTGTCCAGCAAACTCACACAAAGTGCGAAACAATGGAATATTGCCAAAGAAAGCACTTAATTTAGCATTTGCTCTGGAGAGAGTGAGTATGGTTTTACACCGCTTTTAGCAATATTCCAGCAATATCACGGCCGGGGACACCAGAAATAGGCTTCACACATTGTGCCCATGTGGGGAATCGAACTCGGGTCTTCGGTGTGACGAGCCAACGCTTTAACCATTAGGCTACCCTGCCGCCCATATTTGCTCTGTAACCATTTTTGGCGATAACACAGCATTTTTTAAAACAGACAGTCTGGCTTTACCTGGTATAAGGTTCTAGACTGAACTGTTGACATAAAAGCATATCAAGACGTTATCATCCAATTGTGTCGACTTCCAAGGGACAATGCCTGTAAAGATTACCAGGAGTTGTACACAAAATATACACACAGCAAGAAATAAAACCAAATATGAGCTAGGTTAAATGTGGTCCTGATGAATCATTGAAACTAGACAGTTGTCCATCTTTGATTATCTACCAGACACTTTATAAACGGTAACTACCCTGTAAGATTCCCCAACATTGCTTTGTCTCAGAAGTGAAGTCACGTTCCATCTTTATCCCATAGTCTTGAGATGGAAATCAATAACTGATTAAAAATTCTTTTCTGTGTGGCATATATTGACATTGCAAAACATACAAGGGACTTCTCCTTATATATTTCATTTAAACAAAAAAGGGTTTAAAATAAAACTGCATGAAAAGATGATTTACAGAGTATTATGAAAATCAAAGCCACCCAAATTAACTGCCCTCAATAACACAAAATGCATAATAAAGAAGTTGACATCCATAAATCTTGCTTTTCTTATGCATTCCACTTCTAAATGCCCTTCAAAGATTTAAAATCTCATGCTGCTAGAAGTCCTGGGTTGTATTTTAAACTGCCCACACCACTGAATTAAGCACTGCATATAGAGCCGCTTCTGTTGAGACAGATGATAATGGTGGTGAATGAATTCAAGTATATTTACTAACAGAATTGGAGATTTGATACACTAGAACATCTAACCAACTCACAGATTCTCAAAAAGTTGTTTCGCTATGCCACTTCCTGGCATGTACAGCACCATCTGTTGTGAGCTGCCATCGACGGCGAGTTCAGTAGGGGTAGCTCTCCGCTCCAGCTCCTGCCAGCCCAGTTTTGTGCGGAACAGGTCGCCACACTTCCTGTCCATTGACTCCGATGGGATGAACCGGAACTGGGACCTTCCATACAAAGAGCAGACGTCAATCATACATCTCACTTGCGTGTCTCACCCATTCTATGAAGTGTTAGGTTGGCTTGAATGTGTTACTGTTTGAGTTATATCAAGGCATAATGTCTTCATCATGATTGTGGTGAATTGTGGACCCTATCCCTTTAAATTCCCCGACAGACAGAGCTTGGAAACTAAGGGAGGCAACTCTGATGTACACAGGTACCTGTACTATTGGGAGAAGTTATATTAAGATTGGAACCAATATGTGCAACAGGGTCGGATACAGCTTATTGAGAAGTGTGTGTGTGTGTGTGTGTGCACGGCGCGTTTTGCGTGGGTCATTTAGTTTTCACAGGTCATTTAAAAAACTTTCAGGACAAAATCTGAATCCGTCTATGTGAAAAAGCATGTAAACATAGTGAGCTAGACAGGCAGGAATATAGAGACAGTTTTATATCTGAGCTTGACAGTCTCAATGTACAGCTGCAGATGTTTATGACAATGATCTGGCCCCAAAACTGACCCCTGTAACTGGACATCAAGTCTCTCCTCCGAGTAGCTACTGGTCAGTATGATCACCTGACGGAACTTCTGTAACCTCGTCCACTCTGCAAGCCAAGACATGAACTTCTTCTTCTTGCCCTGAATTAACAGATATGTAATTGCAGATAATCCAATGCCTTACTAAACGACCTTGACAGACGTACCAGTACATGCCATTTTACAGTACCGTACCTTGACGTTAAGTAAATATTTATACAAAACAATATCATGATTCTTCTGAATTTGTTACTCAAGCAAATCACTCAAATATAGACTTATCCAGATGCACATTTTCACGGCTGATACCAATTCAATCAATGTGGGCTTTCTATACAGTAAACTACATTGACAACTAACATGCTTAGAATGAAATGAAGGATATAACAAACCATGTTTTGGGTTCCTGCCACTTGACTGACTGTCTGAGTTTGGTTTTACGCCGCTTTTAGCAATATTCCAGCAACATCACGGCGGGGGACACCAGAAATGGGCTTCACACATTGTACCCATGTGGGGATTCGAACCCGGGTCTTCGCCGTGACGAGCCAACACTTTAACCACTAGGCTACCCCACCGCCCCTCCTGCCACTTGATGTACATGGTAGTGATAATGAACTAAAATTACTGTTTCCCTTTGAGTTTGTTTTGACCATTGTTTACGGTAATTACTTTTATATATCAGGGGACCTCACAGACATGATATAGGCTGGGGCTTATCATAGAGACTGGAACAGTGACCTTGGTCACTGCTAGTGATTCATGGTACATAGGACTGTCTAAAAATGTTTGGCAACTGAAATCCCCTCTACAAGCATGAGGTTCAAGGACTCAGAATCCAAACGTGTGATCTGCAGACCAGTTACTCTGAGTAATTGGCAACACTATATTACTAACCTTCACAAATGGTGACCTCTGTTGAAGAACAACTAATTTGTTGCTCTGGTTTTCATATACTGTAATAGAAGAAAACATGTCTTAACAGGCGCTTGCTTCTAATATACCCCAGTAAACATCATATAAATTCTGAACAGGTGCTTGTTGCAAATATACCACTGGATACATAACATACAGTCAACCACATCAGCGAGCCTGACAATCAAATGTCATTAGTAGCCAGTTTGGACCAACTCAACTCAAACCTTCACAGGTAGCAGAAAAGGTCAGGCAACTGATATCAATGTCATTTTCAATATGGCCGCTATTGTATCACGGATGGACAGACATACAATGGACAACACACCACATAATAAGCCTACAAGAACTTCAGTCACTGAGCTAAAAACATGCTTCAGCAATGAATAGTTTATTATAAGTTACTAAACACATTGGTTATGTTTGGCACTAATAAGTTACAGGGTTGGAAATAACCCATTGCCCGACGTCCGAGTCCAGTGTTGTTTTCAGTCGGGCAAGCTAATTTGTATATCACACTGTACCGGTGTCCACTTGACTTTCCAATGTTACTTATGTTGTTTGTTTAACAAAATCAACAAGAAAACGGCCGGTATAGTGGAAAAATTATCTGGGCAAGTGATTTTACATGTGCCACTGTTCCGGAGTACACTAGCAATTTTAAAGTTATTTCCACCCCTGAGTTATTCCTTTACTGCGGTAGTTACCTTCACAGCTGGTGGTGAGTTTACAGATGTTTGCATCATGGTGGGCGAAGGGGTTGTTGCCGACCATGGGGAGGACGCTTCATGGTAGATGTACCCGACCCTCTCCATCCACAATGTGGAGATGACCAGGTCAGCTGTGAGCTGGCCAACATTCCCCACGGACACACAGGGCTGGAAGCAAACATACATATCCTCATATATTGTATGTATCTTATTTATAAGCCTAACACACAAATGCAAAGAGTGAGTGGATAATATTTCAGTTAACCAATTTCCAGAACCTCACAAGAACACAGGATGTAAGCCCTGTCCATGCTCAACCGGAAGTTGGTCGTCATCAAATACCATTTCCCTGATAGACAGTCGATCCCGGTAGAGATTTATCAAAATCTTACTCTCAGAGAGTGAGTCCCCAAAATGGTAGGATTTTGATACCCCCAAGTAGCAAACGTTTATGAACTCGACTTGTCTTATAAGCTGAATGGTCATGGATTATAACCCCCTATATCATATGGTCATGACACATTATATTTTGTTTACATGTGAAGCACTTCTTGACATGTCTTTCAGTGCGAATTGGAAAAGCCGAGAAATCGACCACTTTTGACGTCTTTACAACATAATAAATTGAATTCATTTCACGTTTTGTGCATTTTTTGGCTAAATGAGGTAAGGTAGCCACAGTGTCAAGATTTTAGCTTCCGTCAAAACATACAAACTGAGATATTGACGAAAACAACAAAACACCCCCCCACCCCCAGCCCCACCCCACATTATACATAACACAGAATAGAGGTCAAGTAAAATTGTATTTTCCATGTACATTGCATAGCTGCTATTTCTTGTATTGTGCCCAGTCAAAAGTATGCAGTATCATCTTAGGTGAACAAACAAACTTTGCAAATGTAAATAGGAAACTTGTAATCCAACATCAATAGACATGATAATTCAATTGTTGTCCGTGTTATGCTACATGTTATTCAACTAATAGACTATAAGCTGTAAAATAAGGAATCATCTGTGTACACATGTTGTATTTGAGTAAGTATTCCACTTATATCACTGAGTAACATTTTAATATGGGCGACAAGCTTCAGATGAAATACAGCTATATGGACAGCACTGTATTAACCACTGATATTTCCCCTTCTGAGATTAATACCCAGCATCACAACAGCTTTCTATCAGAGGTAGTGTTGGGAACTGGTTGAAATCTCACAATTGATGATTGGTTCAATACCAACGACCAATCATCGAAAAAAATTGGTTAACGTCATTTTTTAGATTTTCCTATTCAGGTTGTAGTTGCAGATAAGTATAAAGAAAAAAACAGTTGGTTCTCTGTTTGTTTTTCAGAAACTGCACAAATTACATTTGCAGATTTCACATCCAGTGTAAAATGATTCAGTTCCAGTGTAACATTAACTTCCCAGATTCTTCAAGAAATATTCAGTCATGACTTTTCAGAAATTGAAGTGAGTTTTCTTAGAAATAAACACGTTTTCAGGCCCTGACAACGTCCTAGATATGTTCCATCATCAAGTATTTTGAACTCTATTACAGCGGTTCCAAAATCGTTTGTGTTCGATTATGAGAAAATGTGATCGATTGCTTGGTCGTTTGGCCACTGCAACCAATCTTCGATTATTTCAATTAATCGGACCACCACTAATCAGAGGTGATGTCACCATCACAGTTCCTCATACCACAAATGTGGGACTAGTCTGTCTCACAGTCCCTGAACCGTATTATTTTCTCTTCCACTCAGCCCTTTCCGCAATGCTAAAGACCCAAATGAAGCAAGTCTAGATTGTTTCAGGTTCTGAATCTCCCATCTCACTTGGGCTCCTTTTCAGTTTAATGCAATTATTTGTTACTATCAAAATTATATATATTCAGGGACTAAGATTTAGTCTAACGTGGCACAGTAAGTGTTATTTAATTCTAATGCAATATTTCATATTGTGCCATTCCAATCAGGTTTATTATGAAGCTATATTTGAGAATGGAACCAGATTACTATCATAGTGAATGGACATTTAATACAGTATATAATCAAATTATTTATACATGAATATCATCTCTTGGCCAGTTCCTGGGAGGATGATACTTTATATATTTCTACAATTCTAATAATTTCCATTTTAAAAACCCTTTACAGTCAAACTGAAGACCCGGGTTCGATTCCCTATATGGGTACAATGTATGAAGCCCATTTCTGGTGTCTTCCACTGTGATATTGTTGGAATATTGCTAAAAGTGGCATAAAACCCAACTCACTCACTCACTTCTGTCTTACAATGAGACAAATGCAGGCTGACTACACTGCACAACCAGGGACCAGAATGGACCTCTTCATTCGGGGATGATTTCACCGGGGTTTTGTTTGTTTTGGCTGTTGTTTTATGCTCTTTCCATTTTTTCAAATTCCTTTTAGGACAAGCATTTGCACTTTAGTATTAGTGAGTGAGTGAGTGACAGAGAGTGAGTGAGTGAGTGAGTGAGTTTAGTTTTACGCGCTATTAGCAATATTCCAGCAATATCACAGCGGGGGACACCAGAAATGGGCTTCACACATTGTACCCATGTGGGGAATCGAACCTGGCACTTTAGTATTAAAATCTGCAAAGTTGCTTTGATCAGTTTGCTGGATTCCTAGATTACATGGCTTCTGGCTAATGACCTGACAATCTAAGTCAGTCAACTCTTTCCTCAAATATTTCTGTCTGTAGTCGTTCCTCCCTACAGAAATCTTTAGTAAATGGTGAACGATTTATACAAGATGAGAAGCAACACCTATACTCCAAAATGGTAAAGTTTCAGTTTGACCATTTCAAACAAATTGTCAAGAAGTTTTCTGTCATCTTAATCACAATTTCTCTTCAATTGCTGAGGATATTGTTTGTATGTTACCAAATAGAGAGTAATAAAATTTAAAAAAAGGTTTAAAAAAAATAATTCACTGTAAGTAGATACTAGTATATCATAATGAAATCGTTCTTCAACATTTCATTAGCTTGTCAGCAAACACTTGCCACCCTTCACATTGTATTACTATTTACAGAATGTATCAAGCCACAATGTACACACTTTTCACTCACTTCTGTATTGTGACAAAATGTGGGCATGAGCACAAGGAATCCTCAAAGCCTAACATAATAAAACCCTATCACCTAAACCTATATGACTTCCACTCACAAAGATGTCCTTTATGTTTATAGTACTTCTGTAAATATAACCTAGATTAAGGAATGAACAAGATCACTGCAGGGGTGGGGGGAAACACATTTACATGAGGTCGTTTGTCCAGCAATAATACAGACTCCTTAAGTGCACAGCAGTACAACTGGTCCTAAACAAGCATAAACAGTTTTTAATACTTTTAGGAAGGTAACAGCAGCTTGTGTTATTTCATCACAAATGTAACTTTAAAGTGATATCAGACTTTGATAAAGAAACTGTAGTTAGGTTATACTAGTCTATCTCACAGTTTGTGAGCAATATTATATTTCCTTTCCACCAAGCCGTCCCATAATGTAAAGCCTTAAATGAAGCAAGTCTAGATATTCCCCAGATTCAGAATCTCCCGTCTAACTGGGGCTCCTTTTAAAGTTAAATAGTTATTTGCCTCTATCAAATGTATATATCTTCAGAGACTTAGCCTTAGTCTCAGGCTATAGGTGTTGGTCATGGGTCAAATGATGACTTGAACTTGCTGTTGACCATCTATAAATAGCCCACCATGAGGGCTACAGCTAACACCACTAGTCCATACTGACTCACAAAGGCCGTGCTATAAATAGCTCAGTTACGATCACAAACGTGGATCTAGAGGGAAACGTATCACTCGTTTGGTTCAAATGTTAACATCATAATGACTGCAGCTTTGTTATAATTTATCAGTTAGATTTTAAAAAAATATCACAATTGAGGTCAAACACTCTAGATGTTTCAGTGTGGAAGAAACACATGATTCAAATGTCATGTGATTATAATTATCAGTATTTCTTTGTGAAGCCACCTAACCTGAAAACATTGTCGGGACAGTATACAATCTGATCTCAATTTCTATTCAGTAGCTCTGGTTTCTCTTCACTTCGCATAAATCTTTCGCCTTTTACTAAAGATTTCCGTGGGGAGGAACAACTCAATGAGTCTTAAGACTTATTTTTTAAGCCCTACCTGGTAGGGTACATAACTCAAATAAAGAATAGACTAGAGAAAGAAGTGCATTCACACTATATCAAGAATCAATTCCAGTTTATAGCCTGGCGTTTTTGTTGAAAATTCCTGTTTATCATGAAAACTAAAGTTTGCTATGTATGCCTCACTCAGCAGTTATATGATGGCAGTTTGTGAGGAAGTACTTCTACAAGATACAATGAAGAAAAAACCCCATCCTTTTCACATTAATGATGCAATTTGTCAATGTTATGAATATATTTGACGCTTATGTCATACAATGCAAATCACAGAGACTACTGTTCTGTTCACATAAAAATTTCTTAATTTAATGACATTGATCGTGTTGATGTTTAACACTGCTTACAACAGTACACACTGTGCAGTGAAAGTAATATGCTATAGATACAACTTACAGAAAGTAGTTTTTACCTTCCAGAGTATAAAATATTAAGTCATTGAAACTCCACACAGCCTAGCTTAGACTAAGTTTAGTCTCTGAATACATATAATTTTGATAGTACAGGGTTTTACATGAAGTGTGATTCCTTCGTATTTGACACAAGAATTTTGTAAACGACTCTCAAAATATTATCATACGAGTCAAGCTTGACGCAAGTTTTATGGGTGGCCGTCACAATTCAGTTCAATAAATCGATTTGATAAGCAAAAAAAGATATTGTTCGATGGTAGTTTGACTTTTACAGAGCTGTCAGATTGTTCCAGAGAACTCAGAGGAGACAGTAATCCTGGCTGTTTGAATTGAACAATGCTGTAGTTTCATTTGGTGGTGTGACATAGACAGTTACATACTGAGAATGATTAACACAAAGAAATATTAAAATTTTCATAACTCTCAGATATTGAAAATGACAGACAAAAATAAATATTATGAGTCACCATGACTTCCATTTTTAAAAGTCTGTGTAAAACCCTGATAGTAACAAATAAACCCATTTAAATTGTAAAGGAACCCTGTTGAGGTTACAAATTCTAGACTTGCTTCA